ATATTTAATGTTTAGAATGCCATCAAAGAGCTGCAGATGGAGAAGAGTTTGCAGCCAACCAGGGCTCATGGAGTAACTCTAGAAGAAACCCTTCCACCTGTTCCAGGCTGAGGTTAGGGAAGGACATACCCCATGCATACACAGCGCAATCCCCACGTAGTCTTGCCAGCATCATTGCCCACAGGCGTGTTTTTGTGACAGGATGGTATGAGGTGTGAGGCTGCGATAGGTCTGGATGTATAAAAGAAAGATGCACCCTGTGTTTAGTGTGAAGGGTGACGTTGTTTCCTAGAATGACTCAGTTTCTTATCTGATCTGGCTTGTGCTGAATTCAGTGCTTCATATAAAGATGGCGGTGACTGCTTGTTCAAAAGGTTACGATGGTGGCTGTCACACCTTGAAGAGTCCTTGGCATTGATTTATTGCAGTTCTGATTTCGTAGTTCTGCCTTGCAGCATCTGGGGGAAAACTATAGATTTGGCTGAAAAGGGAGGGAGCCTTTTAAAGTTTAATTCTAGCTGCTGGTCTTACTGTGAGGCTTTTGTCTCTGCTGAGGCTCTGCTGTGCAAACCCAGCATATAGATAAGTCACAAGAAGGTTTTTATGCAGACTATGTGGAGAATTAATGTCTTCTCTGAGGGTCCGAATTCTCATTTCTGATGTGAAGTATTGAATCTCCAAGCCTGGGCCTGGGCCTGGGCCTGTCTTGGGCACAGATTTGGAATAATAAGCCCTTGGTTAGTAACAGTAATATTTGGGTAAATGTCCTGTGTAATGCCTATGGATAACCTGTGGTCAGCACTGTGTCTGCCCATGCTGCCTTGTGCCAACCGAGGTGTATACATTGGATTCACCTGTGCTTTTCCCTGCAGGATCACTTTGGGCACACCAGTGAGGGGGGGTCAGTACTCTGCCCCAAGCTAAAATGTTCTGTCCTTAATTTGTCCTTAATTTCTTCTTAATGACCAAAGTCCCCTCCATGCTCCCCTGTCTCCTTACACATTTTAATGTTTTCTTTTCTCTGTAATAGGGAATGTGGATGAGGTGTTTTACTGTGTGGGGAGGACCCAGTGTAGTTGCAATCAGACTTCTCTGAAATTGGAAGCTAAAAAATAATAACTGTGTTCTTTTTTGGGGACCAAATTGGAGGCATCCAGGTGCCACTGAAAGCTCTGCTTGCCCCTCTCAGAGACCTTGCTGCAGTGGAATGCAGTGATTCAGTGAGCACAGGGCTGAAGGGCCCATGCTCCCATCCCTGCTGCTCCATCCCATCCCCTGTGCCTGCTGCTTCACATAGGGCTTGTCTTTGTAGCTCCCTGTCAAGAGACTTGGGCAAGTACCTCGGAAGTCAGATGTCCTTACTCTATTTAAGCACCAGACTTAATCTGATGTATTTATATCTCTAGCAATTTGGAGGTGGGGCAGGTGGGTTATTTTCCCAACATGATCCTTGGTGTTTTTCCCACAGGGTGTCTCTCTATGATTGCTTTCGTTACCTAGTGGTTGTTATTGTTAAGATTCCATCATCTGACCCTTTATAATCCCCATATTGCATTACAGTGCATTGCTGGACATGCTTGGTGTATGCTAGTCTTTGCCAATTTTAGACTGCCCCATCAAACCTATGAGTTTCTCAAAAGCGATGCAAGGTTATGTTACACAGGCTCCTTCCAGTTAATACCTTGGCACTTGGAAATGCTATGCATTGGTAGTAAAGGAGAATAAATATATGGGTTTTATAAGCAGAAAAAATAAAGCTGACATTATAGAAATTGTTCCCAAGCATTTGGCATCAGCATGTGTCCCATGTGTTAGCTTAAATATACAACATGGTTTAGGCACTTAAAGCATGGCTTGGTGTCCTGCTTTGTGTCAACTGATGACACTGCGGTCTGCCTCTCTTGATATTTGAGTTAAAACGTTGACAACCCTTTTGCTTTTGAGAGAAACAGGTGAAGTTTTGAAGAAAATGCATAAATGAGAGAAATCAATGAGGTGAGACAATCCTGCATGAGAGCCTGCTGGGTTTCATGCTAGAGTTCATCTGTACCTGCTTTAGAAACAGTAAGCCACGAGTTTGAATTGTTCATTCCCAAGGGCAGACTTTTCCTTCTACCAGTTTGCTCCTAAAGTGCTTTTATTTAACACTTGTTAGGTACCCATTTAGCATGGTTTTTCAGCTGCTACCCATAGGAATCTCTTTGTGATCGCTGTTCAAGTACCTCTTGTCTTCTGCTTGTGGTTTGAGCGTGGCTGCTGGCACGGCTCTCTGCTGTTTGGTAACAGAGAACCTCATGCAGTAGCTTATTAGTCCGGATATTCCTGAGCAAGTGTCTAATTGGTGTGAAAAAGCAAGTGCTACTGATGGAAGTGGCTTTCCTGTTCTAGTGAAGGCTGAGGAGTGAGTGATTGTTTTGGAAAGCTCCAAAGCTGCAAAAGTTACTGGGAAGAAGATGGGAGTTTTGCCTTGGAGAAGACTTCTACATTCAGCCGTGTGTCCCAAGCCTGATGGTGTTGTTTGTTGCTGTAATGTTCCATTTCCAGTGTGCCAAAACACTACACAGCATGTTAGAAAAGGAAGTGAATCCTGAACCTGAGGTTAATTTATGGAAGAGAAACCTAAAGTAGGCAGAATGTGATACCCACCTTGGAAATCTGTGGGATTAGCGCCTTTGTCACCAGGAGAGGTGCCACCAGGCAATCCTTCAGCTTTGCATCTGACGGAGTAGGCATTACTCCAGCAGTGTAGTATTTCCTCATCATGGTATTGACAAGTGATATATTTCTAGTTAGAAGAAAACCTGCTTTTCAAATACCTGATGATGTTCTCAGTATCTGTGTTTTCCTTCCCAAGTGAACTTTCATGGGCTTAGCCCTACTTAACTTAGCAGATCTGACAAGACCAAGGCCCAAGATGGCCTGGCTGAAGATCATGGAAACACAAGAAGGTGGCCAGAGGCTTTATTTACAGTCAAGAAATTAGCAAGTGATAAGTAACCGCTGAATAGCCAGCTTCTGTGATCCAAACAGCATCACTTGGGAGAATAACATAGCAGCTACTGAAGAGCACTGATTTATTTGATAACATCAGGAAACCATTTATGGACTCTATCATGGACTGCAATCACTGGGGTTAAATCTGCTAGACCAGCTAGATTGATGTGTGGGTCTGCTGTTGTGCTTGCTACTGCTTAATATAAAATAAGGATGTCCCTTGAAATACCAAAGGGGCAAATGGAGCCAGTACATTATTGGCTTGGCTTTTTGTTATATTTTCCTTCACCACGTATTTCCTTCCAAGAGTCTTGCTCTCTTCCCTGATGTGTGATAGCATTAATTAAATGAGGGCCTTTGGATAATGGCTTTTTAATAGAGTTGAACAGGGCTTTGAACACCATGCTTCTTGTTACAAAACACAGCATAGAGAAACCATCCTCATGCAGAGACTATTTTGCTGCTGGCAGACTCCAGCGGAGCCTGGTTGAAGCTGTAATGAGAAATATGGCTTAAAAATTGGTGGGGCTTGGTTTCACAGCCTCTCCTCTGTGGTTTGTTTTTTTTTTCCTGTGAAAGATGCCTTTGATTTGATACCCACTGCAAGAATACTTGAAATTATAAGAGGAAATTTTCCTGATGCAATCAGCAGCCCAAGCTGTGGTGTACTGAAACTGCACCATGGTGGAAAAATTACCTGTCCTGCTACTCTGCTTTTACAAAGCAGCCATGAGCACAGTGCAGATTTGGCTTTCTGCATTGATACATAGATTTAGAAGCCAATGAAATATTCTGAACAAAGAAGGAGGTACTTCTTAGGTGGAATGGATACTTAATGAAGAAATGGCCTTCAGGTAATCTGTAGTTGCAGCAGTTCTAAGAATATTAGTAAATCTTTGTAGTTGCTTATTCTGTAACACAATGGTAGAAAGTGGGGAAAGGATGAACCTGAGCTGAACTGTCAGCCAAGATCTCTTGACAGTGAAAATAACATCCATGACAGAGGCAGACCACTCAAGAAACAGGGTACTGGCATTGCCTCTGGGCAGAGTGTATGGGAGCAGACCAGAGATGTGCTATGGGAAATCCCATGGGGAAATGCTGCCTAGGGGACCGCTCAGGTTGGTTCAAAGGGCTGGTTCCCATCCCCACACGGACTCCTGTCCCAAGCACAAGGTGTGTGTTTTACTGACTGTTCACCCTTTTTCCACCTTGGAGGATTTTACCTGGTGTTGGCTGCATCACACCAAACCACCTGCAACATTAGAATCATAGAATAGTTAGGGTTGGAAAGGACCTTAAGATCATCCAGTTCCAACCTCCCTGCCATGGGCAGGGACACCTCACACTAAATCATCTCGCCCAAGGCTTCGTCCAACCTGGCCTTGAACACTGCCAGGGATGGAGCATTCACAACCTCCTTGGGCAACCCATTCCAGTGCCTCACCACCCTTACAGTGAAGAACTTCTTCCTTATATCCAATCTAAATCTAAGACCTCGCTAAAGGCACTGAAGAGCCTGCATTCCTTTTTAAGATATCCAAGACATCATGGACACAAAGACCTTGTGCTCATTCTTCCCACGGTTCAGGATTTCAGCTGCACACCTCATAGGTACCATTAATGTCATTCCACCCTCCCTTAGCAATCCAAGTGCAGATGAGGCACTCAAAGGCTTAGTGCCCCAGGAATCCTCTAGAAAATGGCCATCCCCTGACTTACTCAATGGGGGACTCACCAGCTGCACTGAAATGTCAGAAGGGTTTGCACAGCTGACAGGTTGCTGAAAATGGAGCATCGCCATAAATTCCCTTCATCCAGCCAAGTGCAGCTTAATATAGACTTAGCTGCACGGTCTGTCTCCCACACAGAGACTGAGAGCTGCCACAGCTCATGACCAAAGCATGAAGTCGTTGATTTAACCAAATGAACTACTGCTAGTGAGGGGGAAAAAGAAAATATTCCTTTAAAATCGATCTTTCTCTTCAGGTTTGACAAGTGAAGGAACATGTCTGCACTCAGGCAAAACTCTGATGATGAACAAGTGTGTACTGAGGACATTGATGAAGATGAAATCCTGGCAAACCTGTCCCCTGAGGAGCTAAAGGAGCTGCAGTGTGAGATGGAAGTTATGGCCCCAGACCCCAAAGTCCCAACTGGGATGATACAGAGGGATCAGACGGAGAAACCGCCAACGGGAAGCTTTGACCACAGGTCCCTGGTTGACTACCTGTACTGGCAGAAGGCATCCAGACGCATGCTTGAGGATGAGAGAGTTCCTGTCACCCTCTTGCCCTCTGAGGTAACAAAAATCACTAATACTTATTATGCATCTGCTGTGGGATCTGGTTTATAGTTTTAATACCTTAACCTGCCTCTGCTTCCATCCCTTATGTAAAGTACGGTACAAATTGAAATTAATCCTAAAAGCCTCAGTGATGTCAGCATCCAGCTTGGGCTGACATCAGGATTAGTAATTTTTTAATTGCTTTTCATGAATACTTACTTAAGCTTTTTAGTATAAGGAAATCCTAATTCTGTTGCAGTAAAGCAAATCACTGTGAAATTGTCATAAAATCAAGTTTGGAGGATGTAACTGTGTGTATGGAGCAGCACCATACTGCTTTTCCATAGAAGACTAAATTAATTATATGTATTTAATTAATTAACAGGATTTAATGTCATAGTGGACAAAACTCCAGGACTGTGTGTTTTAACTCCTTGAGTCAGCCCAACCCTTTTCGACACAGTACTTAGACTTATTCTACTATCCCTATGACTTTGAAATAAAGTTCTAAGGTCACACTTAGATGTTTTTCAGGATGAGGGCCTCACTTAAAAATAGGTTTATAGGATGGAAGCTTGGCCAGATGAAACGTAGCCATCCCTAAACCCAAGTGAATCTGGGGTAACTGATCTTAATATTTATTTTGTTTCTAAACTCTAGTAGCTTTGCTATTGCACAACAGCACATCACGGACTTCCCAGGGCAGGTTTCATGGGCTGTCTTTGGACAAGGTGGGAAATCTGAGGGTTTTTCCCTCCTGCAACACTCTTTTGCCCTCAAAGAGGGTAAAACTCAGTTACCCTCAAAGAGACAATACTTTTCTAACACTTTTGGGGTTAAATCTGGAATTCGAGTGTAGAGCTGCAGCTGGTCAAGCAATCCCCATACTAAACCCCTCCACTGCTGCAGCAAGCAGGAACCGCAGCCCTGAGCGCAGGAGTGGCTTGTGACTGTTTTGTCTGACTTGGTGAAGTGCAAGCTGTGACACTGCCCTGCCTGAAGTAGTGCAAATCTCTTACAGAAATATCTTGATCTATATCAGTGCTTTATTGGCATTTCTCAGTGATAGAGGAACCACATGCGAAAAGATGCTTAAAAAGAAATCTCAGCCAGGAGGGTCTGTGGAGATGTTTGCAATTGATGTTATTTTGATGCTGTAAGCCCCATTGCCTTGCAGCAGCTGTGTGCAGAGTCCAGTTTCCCATCTCTGAGCTAATATTTTGCTTTATCTGCAGTGACATGCTTCCTTAGTTGTGATGCTCTGGCAGGTAGTAGAGCGGGCGGCTTTGTTGTCTCACGTGCTGGGTGACTCCACTGTCATTTACAATGTGCCCTCTTGGCTCCTCCTGGGGCTGGGCAAACAGTCAGCGGTTAACACTGATTTCCAGTGGTTTGTGGCATTTGAAATAAACTTTATCAAGGCAAACATAAAAATTACACAAAATCCAGAAAGATACTTTAGATGAAAGACTCCTAACCCCCAGAAGGGCTCAAGGACCACCTTAATATACCATTAAATACATATAGGATTTAATTGTCAGGATCTAATTTTATAGGCAAAGACGAGAAACTGGTTTGTGGCCACTTTAACAGCAATCATTCTTGTGTTCCCAAGCAAGCCAGACAGCCCTGACTTACAAGCAATGGCACTTTTAAGGATTATCCTATAACGTATGGGCATAGAGGCGTCTAAATCCAGCCGCTACATGTTTGCTTGAGCAGAAAGGTAACGTAACAAAGCTGCATTTGACTGTTTAAGCTGTGAGGTTTTGTCTTTCTAGAGAAGCGCTGCAGAAGAGGTGGAAGGAGAGGATGGAGGCAGCAGCAGGAGGGTGCCAGGAGCAGAGGGACAAGAGAGACATTACAAAAATGAGCACTTGTCCAACTCGGGAACACAATCTTGGGAGACAAAGAGGGATGGGAGTGATGTGGAGAGAGAGAAGGAGGAAGAGGATGAAGAAGAGGAGGAAGATGATGATGAAGAGGAGGAGGAGGAAGAGGATGAAGAGGAAGATGAGACCGAATTGGAAACAAAGGAGACTCACACCAGTGAGAACAGTCACAGTAATCAGATAAGTAAGAAACCAGGCACAGAATCAGGAGAAGGCACAGAAAAGCCAAGTGAAAAGAAGATATCAAAATTAAACATCCCCCAAAAGTTAGCTCTGGATACCAGCTTCATGAAGATAAGTGCCAGGCCTTCAGGAAACCAAACCAATTTAGAAGATAGTCTGGAGAAAGTCCGAAAAAACAACCCAGACATGAAAGAGCTCAACCTGAACAACATAGAAAACATCCCCAAAGAAATGCTGATAGACTTTGTCAATGCCATGAAAAAGAATAAGAACATAAAAACATTCAGCTTGGCCAACGTGGGGGCTGACGACAACGTGGCTTTCGCACTGGCCAACATGCTGCGGGAGAACAGGAGCATCACCACGCTGAACATCGATTCCAACTTCATCTCTGGCAAAGGGATCGTTGCCATCATGAGGTGCCTGCAGTACAACGAGACGCTGACGGAGCTCCGCTTTCACAACCAGAGGAGCATGCTGGGCCACCAGGCAGAAATGGAGATCGCCAGGCTGCTGAAAGCCAACGCCACCCTCCTCAAAATGGGGTATCACTTCGAGCTGCCGGGGCCCAGGATGGTGGTGACCAACCTGCTCAGCAGAAACCTGGACAAGCAGAGGCAAAAGAGGCAAGAAGAGCAAAGGCAGCAGCAAATGAAAGAGCAGAGAGAGTTGATAGCGGTGCTGGAAAATGGACTTGGGTTGCCTCCGGGAATGTGGGAGATGCTGGGGGGACCACTGCCGCAGCTGAGGATGCAAGAACCCCCGCAAGCCCCGAAACCATCCGACCCCATGGCTATGTCTCTGAACAAAAGGCAGGAGAGCACGAGGCAGCCAGCCCCCGAGCAGCCACGCAGGGAGAAGCCTGTTGAATTCAGAGTGGTCAAGCTGAAGAAGATTCAGCGCAAGCCTGCTGTGCCGGACTATGTGGAACCCACCGAGAAAACCAACCTCAAAGACGTCATCAAAACGCTTAAACCAGTCCCCAGGAGAAGGCCACCTCCCCTGGTGGAAATAACCCCAAGAGATCAGCTGCTAAATGACATTCGTCAGAGCAACGTCGCCTATCTTAAACCGGTAAGTGCTTGGTGATGGTGGTGATGGAGGGAGTTGTGATCGCCCAGCACGCTCCAGAGCTGCTGTTTGACATGTTGGCCATTCAGTGGGGTGTGCAAGCTTACCTGTGCACTGTGTGTCATCATCCTTCTGCATGAGGCTGCCAATCCTGGGTGCAGGGTGTTTTTTCCCTTTGGTAGCACAAAGGTATGGCTTGCACAGAGAAATGACAGCAAGAGCCAAGGCTGCAGCCTTGCACATCCCTGTCCGCATCCATGAAGGTAAAAGAAAGGAGATTCACTCAGGAGGTAAATAAAACCACAGAAACTCACTGTTAGCATACTAGTGATAGCCTATTAGTTATGACAGGCAAATGCTATTGTAAGATGTTTGTTTCAGGAGAGCATCCGGTATGATTGTTCATATTAGTCCATCCTCAGTCCCCCATAAACCCCATGTTTCTCTTTTCAGTAGCACCATCATTTGTCCCATTTAATGAAGGGTGAACAGAAACACTGGCAGCGATGTAATTTACCAGGGATCACGCTCCTTTGGTGCTGTCACAAACCAGGCCAAGGCTGTGGGAAGGGTCTGTGTTACAGTTGTGGTCTGTGACTGCCTTCATTTGATTTGATTTAAATGAAATTAAAGCCTTTTGTGTGAGGAGGGATTTAATACATATTTTAAAAGTTATTTTCATTCTCTAGAGCTACTTTCTATAACAGTGATAATGCACAAACCCTTGCTACAACAAATTTTCTTCATGTTTGAGCCTTTTTGAGTTTTAACAAGTGTAAGTTAAAGATGCTTTTTCTCTGCTGCCTGAACATGTAACACATTTTTACAGTTGCCTAAAAACATTTCAGGTAAAACAGTTGATCCTCTAAAATATAGTTTGCTGGCAAAAGGTACCAGTTGTATCCAGAAAGGGTCTGAAATCTGGCCTAGCCACACAGCTTGTGGACTTGCTCCCACCTGCCTCACCTGGTATCAAGGAGTGTGTTATTTTAGTGACTCTCTATTTAAATCAACTGCACAATTCTAATGCTAATAAGAAAAAGAAGTTAGATCCATTAGCAGTGAAGATGCAGCAAGGTTGTAAGAAGAAAGTACCACAGGGTTTTTTGTGTTTCAAGTAAATGCCACTCAAAGCGCTCAGTAATCATAACTCAAGAGCAAATGTGAGCTTGTGGCTTTTAGAATCCAAGTCCATAACTGTGATAACTGCCCCTTGGTGATGCTCCTGCTTGAGTACCAAATTCATGGGCCACTTCTCCAAATGCTGGCCACCAGATTTAACCTTTTGCTTTTTTTAAATGTTGTATTTCTTTGCCTTTTACCTTTATTCAAGTAATACTGAAAGCCGCGTGCTGTATTTGTAGCTAGTGATGTTGATGCATCTGTTTGTGTTGCTAAGGCTAGAGGAAGAGGACAGAAAATCCTTTGCAATTAAAAGTGGTCAGTAGTACATTGTAATCCATATTCTGTTTAATATTAACATTTTAATACAGTGGGTCACATTCTGCTTTCATCTATACCTACACAGAAACAATTATCCCCTCAGTGATTCCAGAGAGAGTAGATTATCCTGAAATTTCAGCAGGGGCAGGTCCTGCAGTGACCTCTGATGCTGGTCCAGGTTTAATGTGACCATTCTGCTGCCAAGCCAAGTTTTGGGGTTGTAGTTTTGCTGGCCAGCCCTGCAGCCAGGGCCTCTCCTCAGGGCACTTCTGGGCTTTCCAGGCCAATCTAGATTTTGCATTTCAGTCCCATGTCTAAGCCAACAAGACCTGCTCTTGTGAAGGTCATGGTTTCATCAGGGACTGTAGCGATAGGACAAGGGGTGATGGGTTTAAACTTAAACAGTGGAAGTTCAGGTTAGATATAAGGTAGAAGTTCTGAACTGTGAGAGTGGTGAGGCACTGGAGCAGCTTGCCCAAAGAAGTGTTAAATGCTCCATCCCTGGCAGTGTTCAAGGCCAGGCTGGACAGAGCCTTGGGCAACATGGTCTAGTGCGAGGCATCCCTGACCATGGCACGGGGTTGGAACTGGATGATCTTAAGGTCTTTTCCAACCCAAACCATTCTATGATTTATCGGTGTGTGCCAAAATGGTGTGTGATGGGAGGCTGGTTCTTCATGGCCACAAGATCTGCTGCTGTTCGTTCCCTCGGGAAGATGGAAGATGATGGTGCTGATGCTCTGCTGGGCACAGCCCTCACTTTACACAGCAATGATTAAGAAACCCTCATGCTGAAATGTACAAGGGAGCAATAGTGAACCCCAGCTATGCCCCCAAAATCCTCAGGAGGTTTTTATTAATGAGGGCTGTGGGGTTTGGGACAGAAGGATCAACTGATGCTGAATCCCAGAAGGGCCAGAGAACAACTGCTATCAGGGCAAATGGAAATACAAAGCGAGGGACACATGTTTGGGGTTGGGTTTTGATTGGTCATTTGTGGGGGTGGTTTTCTTTCTGGTCCCCTGTTATTGTGCCACATGGCTTGGATTTGGGGCATTAGGGTGTTATTCTCACCTGCCTGCATGATCTTGGTAACTCCTTATTTGCCTTAATATCCTCATCTTCATCTCTATAAAGGGATTTTAGTGGTTGAGCAGAGCTGGGTGTTTGGTTGCTCTGTGGTGGGACACATCACTTGCAAATTGATTTACCAGGCATCAAGCATTGCAAATAGCAAGTGGGGAATTACAAACAGAAATTCCCAACCAGAGCTCCTTGGAGCTCTCAGCTGTTCTATTTTGATCTTTTTACAGTTTCTGGAGGTTTCTATTAAACTAATCTGGCTTGGGAAATAAGACTGTTAAATTTCCTCCTCCTAATATTTACTGTCATTGTCCAGGTGCCTCTGCCAAAGCAGCTGGAGTGAGAGACCAGATTGCCCTGAAGAAAACAAACTGGAATAAAGACTATTCAAGTTTTGCTTACAACTGTTTCAGCAGATGTTTTCTGCAGAACCCAGGTGGTATATATGACTCTTTGGGAACAAAGCTTGTGATACATAACTTTCTAAGTGTGGTGAAAATGGCTGGCATGGGAAAAGTCAGTGCTAAGCATTTCCATCAGGTATCAAACAATCCCAGTGCCATCTGTCTGTCAAGTGGATTTGAGGCTCCAGTTTGTTGTGGGAGTATTTTCTCAGAGGCATCAATAACCTTGTCTTTCTAGATTGTCAGCAAACTGTTTTGCTTCCACGTTGTCCTGCTGCCAGATTCTGCAGGAATATGCTGTGTGCTTCATCTTATCTTTCTTTTCACAGACTTGCTCCTTTATTATTCTCTTGTCCGTGAGAAATGTTATTTGGTTTCCATGTATACAGCTCCATTTTTTAGTTAAGGAAACAGGAATGAAATAAAGCTCTCTGTAAGATGTGTGCAGCACTTCCATGGCTAACAAGGCACTCACAGAACAGAACAACTGCTCTCGTACATCAAACTCCTCAAGCTACCTCTATTTCAGAACATAGCCTAGTTGGCATTGTACCTGATCAGCATGTAAAAGGTGATGCTGTGCTCTGCTTTGAGAGCGGTAATCTTCACTCCCCACGATTCATCTTTGGCTGTGATGTATTCTTTAATTACAGCTGCCTTGGAGCACACTGAATTCCCACTTCAGGTCTCTCTCCACACTGCTCTTGTGGCACGAGGATGAGCCTCACCTCTCTTTGCCAGGGATGCAAGAAATTCCTCATTCCTCTTAGTACAGAGTGTGAATAGCATGTCACACCCCTAGCAGGGCTGGATGAGTTGGGGGTTAAACCTTCATGTGCACAACTTGGTTTCTTCCTTAATGTTTTTTGTGATTTTTCTCCCCTTTTTTAATCGCTTTTTTTTTTGCTGCAAGCCTTGTTTGTAAAGCAGCTACAGGTAAGTCAAGTCACACATCCACAAGAGACCAGATGCTTTGGGAGTTTTTGTTTTTCTAAAGCTAAAAGGCACAGGGAAAGAACAAAGCTTTTCCCTTTGCTAACATGCAGCTCCCCTGCATTCCTGTGGCTGAAACACTTGCTAAAAGGTACAGCTTTGCAGGATTTCCTTCAGGGGAGTTTCTCCTGGCTCCTGCCTGTAACTCTCAGCAATCCCAGTCCCACCCTGCTTCCCCTTCCCAATTTATTGTACTAGTCCTGTCATACCAGCAATATCCAGGATCTCTTTGAACCCAAGGTAGTTCAAGTTTTCATTTATCCTTGTCCTTTCTGCATTTATCACCTGGTGTCTTGCAACTCTCCCTCTTCCCAGTTTGTAAAGCTCCTTCTGAGCTGTTTCTGTTTGCAACTGTAATGCCCCAGACTTGGGAAACCTGGTTAATGTATTGCCTAAGACATAGCTGGTGGTTTTAAAATATGACATAAGGGGACGGGGAAAGCTATTTCTGCATGGCAGAGACGTAAAAAAAGAAGTAGCATTTTCACTGGGCTCATTTCATCCAGCCATCTCTTGTTGTAAAGTATAAAAGTAGGAAAGGGAAGGAACTTGTTACTTCTAACCCCGGAGCACAGCAGCAAATGACAAGTGCAAAAACAGCTCTGCCAGAAAGCACTTTGAGCGTGCAGCTCTCCATACAGGCTTCAAGGGCAGGCTGAGACTCCAGCAGCTGGGACAGGGAAGTACAAGGGAAAATATAACAGTGCTTCACAGTCTTCAACTCAAGCTGCCAGGTCCAGATGACTGCTACACCCAGGAGCAGCCATGCTGCAGAAGCTGACACATATTACCAGGGTACAGACAGGAAGTCCTGCTCTGATCCATGTTCTCCCACCGAGCAGCTTCTTGAGTGATCACAGGAGGAGGGAGGCAGCCAGATACAGAGATCACACTGCTAAGTCTGACTGCAGCAGAACAGGGCTCCTCATACTGCTTGTGGCACAGCTCCCAGTAATCCTAGAAGCAGAAATCCCTCTCAGGTAATTAAAAGCAATATAAAATCCCAGTTAATTAAGGGAGAGTTGTGTAAGAGACTGAAACAGCAAGAACAAATGTCTGAAGTACTCCACCTCTGTCGAGCAGCCTGCATAAGGATGCAAGAGCAAGGCCATAACACTCCTGCAGCTCAGAGATGCCTTGTGCCTCAACGAAGTTAATATACAGATCACTCAAAACCAGCAGCTTTAACCACAAGCACAGGCTTGAAGCACAAGCTGCAGGGTGACAGCACAACCACTCAGTGGAGTTCCACCAATCACAGCAACAGATCCAAGCTCAAGCTTCCACCCATTTTTCCCAACCTGAAATAAACACACTCAGTAATCACCATTAGAATTTATTTTTCTTCATAACTGTGTAGTTTTGAAAATTCTACAGTAATGAAGAAGTCAGGCTACTATGTTCTTGAAGTGTGGAAACAGTTTGCAATTAACAAAGACCATGCGCTACAAGTTAGGAACAGGCCATTGACTCTTCAGCTGGAATATACAGACATGTTCAATAAATACTGATCACTTTAACACTTAAATGGAATGACACGTTCAGATTTCTACACAGTTCACTATGAAAACAGCATGGTAAAGTTACAGAAAAGCTTCAACTTTAAGGATCCTGGTTTTCTTTGTTAAATTAATGACTCTGATTGATAGAAAAGAGAAATGCAAGATCATTTGAAATGAAGTGTCACCTGGACAACTTTCCCTCCCCATTGTTGGTAAACTCCTGTTATCAAGATAATTTCCAGAGCTGGCAGTTAAGTTAAAATATATAAAAGAATCCCCCCCACCATTTTCAGTAGTTGTTGCAGGCAAATATATTCATGAATTTGGAATGGGTTTTCAAAAACCATATCTTGACATTTATTGCTTTTACTTGTAAACCTGAAATCCAGTTTATTCCTTTGAAGAGTGTCAGAAGTACAGAGTCAGTGAGATATATGCTTTACTTGTATCTTTGCATTCTGGTTAAGAAGAAAGAAAAAGACCCACACTCGAGAACACACATACACCTCCATCTACAGAATAGCCTATACAGACTAAAGCAGAACAAGGTAAGTCCTAAAGTAGCAGTATTTCAAAACATCAGTAGGGTAGAAACCCAGCTCATCCAACAAATCTGAAGCCTTTTTTCCTCTCCCATGCCTGGCCATAGTTTAGCTGGTATGTCAGGTGGTTTGGCTCTCCTGCAGAGAGGAGCAGCTTCTATAGATCCAGATTTCGGAGAGACAAGAGATGTGTTTTACTGGAACTGACAGAGGCACAGTGCCATGAATATTCTTCATGCTTAGATCTATTTAGGTTGTTTCCCAGCTGCTAAAGGAGGAATGTGAGCTGAGGGCAGGAATCCATTCTCGTTACAAGTACTTCATGGTTTTACCACCAGTTCAGCTAGCAATGTAGTCTCAATACAGACCACTCAAGTGAGGGATATGGAGGATGCAAGAGACCTACTTGAGACACTCCAGCTCACTTTAAGCATTGCCAGCTTGAAGGTGTTACCCAGCAAAAACTGCCTAAACTGCCAACTTGCAGATCTGAGGTGAAAAGGGTGTACTTTTAATAGACAAATTTGCTACAAGACAGTTGGAGAGACTGCATTCCATAGGTTTCTGTCTCTTCTTCTTCTACCCTCCAGAAGAAGAGACAAGCAAATGCTTTTAAGTTAGTATGTATTTGTGTAAACACCAGAACATTTTGCTATACAATAGAAAAAGACTGCTGCTTTTATGTTCTTAGAGGAGCCCTGAAGACATCGGAACACCTGTATCCTGCAATTATTAATCTGTACCACGTGCATTTCCTGTTTTGTACACAAACTGAAAGCAAGCTTGAACAATAGTAAATAGCAACTACACTCCTGCAACAGGTAAAAATGCTACATTGCAGCTGCTTACTCCTTTGCTTTAGATATGTAGTCAGCCAGTTTGTTGATGCTATCCTCTTGCTGTTCTAGAGCATCCAGTATGATGCCCATCGGGGTCTTCTTCAAGCCTATTCCTTCCATCTTGTTCTCCAGCTTGTTCTTTATGTTCCGAAGCCTCAGAGAAGCATGGACAAACATCACTGCATGACAGAAACAATTATTAATAATTAATGCCCAAGGAATGCATAGTTCTTGCAGCACTGCAGCACTCCAGCACCATGATGGCACTGGAAGAAGAGGAAGCCTCAGTGACCACTTAAATAATCGCAGGTACCCACTTAATAATGACATTAAAGATGGCTTGTGCTGTTTTGCCTCCCTCCCTGCCCAGCTTTGTTTTGAGGTCATTTAAACAGAGGTAGTGAAGGCAACAGCCAATTTAAACTCTGCAGACTTAACTGAGAAAGCCCAAGTCACATCCCCTTAGGCCCCCAGAGCAGAAGAACACTTACAGAGGAGAGGAAGCGTGATCCCAAACATGAACACCATGACATCTCCCAGGTAGGAGATCAAGAAGTAGCTAGACAGCATAATGACCACTACAAATGAAGTTGGGTACTGCTTCTTCAGCTTGCGGAGGATATCCTTATTGTGCGATACCCACACAAACCCCATGAATACCAGCACCACCACAGTACCACCAATGAGCATATTCAGGGGACTCAGAAATCTGGAGAGGAGAAATAAGAAAACAGAAGTAAGTGTCTCATTTCAGAGCCTTCATGACCTGTGTTCATATAGCAAACATCTAGTTCACTGGTAACCTGTTACTAGGGAGGTAGGGCATTAGGAATTCAGTTGTTGCTGTCAAGACCTTTATCAGCATCTACTTTTTAGGCAGAAGCCAAATAAAGCAACAAGTGCAACTGATCAAGCAACCCTTAGCAGTGAATTTAGAAGTTTAGATAATATTTTGTCTTTATGTTCTCATCCTGAGCATAGCTGAGGATAATGACAGTTTCTGCAGCACCTCATTGATAGCAGCAATCACCACCAGGACCCCTCCTACCTGTGCAATCAATACATTCATTTGATATCAGACCCAGCAAATCCCAAGAGCAGATGGAGCCAACAATCAGCTTCCCAAGGGATTGCTCTGCCTACACATGACCAAAATCAGGCTCAGCCCAGACCTTCAGATGAACTAGCTTTTCAGATTATCTCATCTGGGTTTGCACAATAGGAAAAGTAGGGGAACATTGAGTAAAAATAAGTTACTTTACCATTTCTTATTTCTGAATAAGCCTTTTTGCTTTACACCCAAACAAATGATTTTGCAAACCTGCAGAAGGAGCTTACCACTGTCAGCACAAGAAATGTAGCCCTGTCCCAAGCAAGCATGCCTAAGAGTCAGAAGGAACTGGAGTACGGGTCAAAAGCGGAGCCAGGCCTGGCAAGAGAGTCATTGCTGAGGTTTGTGTTCTATTATAGTTACCAAGCAAACCAAGCTACCAAGTGGATCAGCTCTGGACTATAAACAGCAAGTCCCATTTTGGGGCCAGGGCAAGAACATCACCTGCTCAA